GTATACAATATAGTATCAATGAGCTATTCTATTGCTGCGTATTGTCTTGTGTATCTTCTACTCTGATTTGTTTAATAAAAACTCGCGAGATACACAAGAATATATGTGGATATATATGCCACATATTACTGATTGTCAACATTTTGCATTATCAAGAAAAATTAAAACAATATTTTCGTGAAGAAAGTGATAAAATTTAAAAAGTAAAATTCCAAAAATGTCCTTAAAGATATAATTTCATGTTGATGTTCGACACTCATTGTTAATATCAAAATAGGCCAGTATCAAGTGAATGTCAAGCATCAATTTTGATCATGCGACTTATTTTGAAGCTAAAAGGGAGCATCAACATGGAAAAATACCTTAAGGCCTGATAAAATTCCTGATTTTCGAAAGTAAAAATAAATCCCCTAATAATTCCAGGTCTTCTCGATTTTTTCTAGTAGTAAACATCCTGAACTTCCAGAATGAAAGTGCGTCGTTACAGTTCCCTTCTACTTGCGACTCGGTCTCTCCCTCTACGGCGCCCAGATTTGATTATCAATCAAGGCTCGATTCTTCGGAGCTTAGGAATCATAATATGCATCGGAATAGAAAATTCCGAATAGAAAATCGAAATAGAAAACCTTCACCCGTTTTTCTTTTCGTGAAAAAGAAAATCGGGGACGCACGTTTGCAATAAGAAACGAATCGCACGTGAGGCGATCCGCGAGAAAGGCACTTCGTATAGGGGAATCTTATCCCCTAAAAGGCCGCCGTTACACGCGAGAGACGCGATCAGGGAAGACAATTCTTCTTTCCTATTCTATCGAGAGAGTTACTTTGGTAATGACTAGGTCATATACTACGTCGCGCGCGCGCTACGTTAGTTTAATAGGTCGTGGTGTTCGTGTCCGTTATGGCCTGACGATTGGCTTACTAAATAGTGAATAGTAATCGTAATGGCGCGACGCGCCAGCTTAGGCGCTTCCCCGTTATGGCCGTCCTTCGCATCGCGTTGCTTACACGCACCGTAAGCTCGTGGTTAAGTTACGACGAGACTTGATGAGAAATGTCGACTTAACGCGAAAACTTGTACTTTACACTCGGCGCCAGACTCACACTAATCGACTCCTGTGCCCGTTTTTACGCTCAAATCTCATCTCAGAAACACACTGACTCAAGAGGACTAGTCGTCGAAACATGTAATCTCGAAATGCGAAACGGTTCGGTAGTCGCGCTTTGGTTTAAGAATTAAATAGTTAAATAGTTAATTAATATTCAAATCAGAATCCTTCCGCCGAGATTTTC